TTGCTAAAGTTTTGTAATTGTCACCACCCAGTACGGACATTTGCACACACACAAGTTGGTCCCTTCCATTCCTCCCTTCCATCAGCCTGCGATTGGACAGTATAGGAACAGCAGCAAACTGATGAAGTCAACATTCTGCTCTCTCCTTCCGTTTCTCATTAGCACAGAGGAATGCAGTGGATTGGCTTAGAGTACTGAGCTTCCCTCTCCCAGAGTTCTACCGTACAGAGAATTGCAGGAGGTGGATATGAGCACAGATCCAGGTATCTACATTAGTTGCATTGAAAGTGGACCTGAACTCAAGAAGTATCCGATGTTATAGAGAACATCTAGAAATGCTCATTTTTCTTAAGCAATACCCTGAGAAATCTATAACTTGCCTTGAATTCCCACTGCATGTGCACTTTCTGTGCCCAGACACTCCTGTTCCTTGATTTTCATATCTGTATATCTGCAGTGTGACATCTAAGGCGCTGCTTCCTCTACTGCTGGTCTCATGAGATTTGGAGGGAGATTTGGCCATGTCACTACTGTGCTGCTCACTGTTCTCTTTGCTGGAAAGGAAGCTGTACCTGAGGACCTGCAGTGCAAGGATCTTCCTGCTCTATCTAATTTGTGGACCTGCGATTCCTTTACCTCTCCTGCTGCTTCTTCAATATTTCCTCCACCAGACATCAGAAAGACAGATTTGTCATAAGGAAGCAAGACCTGCCACTACCCAAATGGTGCTCCCACACAGAGATATAAGGGTGTATGTAAAAACAAATCACAGAGCAATTCACCCTGCAAAACCGCATGTACATTCTTTCTGTGCAAATGGAGGCAAAAAACAATGTTGCCATATGTTCCTTCTAGATTGAATGTAACTACAGGAAATTACCACATTATGACCACTAGATGGAGCTGAGAAGCATTGGAATGATTTCTTTCCTATGCTGATTTGCTCCATCTAGTGGCCATAATGTGGTAATTACATAATATCACATTTGATCCGAAAAGAGAATATATCATAACATTAATTTTTGCCCCCGTTCACACAGAAAGAATGTTCATGCTATTTCCCAGGGCGAATGGCTCGGCAAATTGTTTATAAATTATATCTCTACCTCACCCGCCCATACCATACTTTCCCTGGTGTGGTGTCATTTTCCAATTACATTAGCCCCCAACTCACATCCATTCCATCTCCCGCACAGGGCAGGTTAAAGCGGTGATATATCCGAAAGATGAAGGCATGACATCACTGAGCTCCAATTAACATGTTTCACTAGGACCTCATACAGTACATACGACTTTCATTTACAGGAATTTGTTTATACAACGTCCTGGGAGGAATCTCTGGATACAACTACACGGAAATGGACTCATTATAAAGTCACAATTGGTTTCCATGACCCGTCCTGGCTCTCCTAAGGACCTGTAACGCCCTTATGAAACAATGATATGATGCACGGGTCAGAACTTCTCCACAGTACACTGTCCTAGCCATACGCTCCAGACGATGAAAATCACTATTCTTGATATAAAAGTTGAACTACAAATGGCTAAATGCACAACAGAAATACATATATTACTTGCTAAAGTTTTGTAATTGTGTCCAGCCAGTACGGACATTTGCACACACACAAGTTGGTCACTTCCATTCCTCCCTTCCATCAGCCTGCGATTGGACAGTATAGGAACAGCAGCAAACTGATGAAGTCAACATTCTGCTCTCTCCTTCCGTTTCTCATTAGCACAGAGGAATGCAGTGGATTGGCTTAGAGTACTGAGCTTCCCTCTCCCAGAGTTCTACCGTACAGAGAATTGCAGGAGGTGGATATGAGCACAGATCCAGGTATCTACATTAGTTGCATTGAAAGTGGACCTGAACTCAAGAAGTATCCGATGTTATAGAGAACATCTAGAAATGCTCATTTTTCTTAAGCAATACCCTGAGAAATCTATAACTTGCCTTGAATTCCCACTGCATGTGCACTTTCTGTGCCCAGACACTCCTGTTCCTTGATTTTCATATCTGTATATCTGCAGTGTGACATCTAAGGCGCTGCTTCCTCTACTGCTGGTCTCATGAGATTTGGAGGGAGATTTGGCCATGTCACTACTGTGCTGCTCACTGTTCTCTTTGCTGGAAAGGAAGCTGTACCTGAGGACCTGCAGTGCAAGGATCTTCCTGCTCTATCTAATTTGTGGACCTGCGATTCCTTTACCTCTCCTGCTGCTTCTTCAATATTTCCTCCACCAGACATCAGAAAGACAGATTTGTCATAAGGAAGCAAGACCTGCCACTACCCAAATGGTGCTCCCACACAGAGATATAAGGGTGTATGTAAAAACAAATCACAGAGCAATTCACCCTGCAAAACCGCATGTACATTCTTTCTGTGCAAATGGAGGCAAAAAACAATGTTGCCATATGTTCCTTCTAGATTGAATGTAACTACAGGAAATTACCACATTATGACCACTAGATGGAGCTGAGAAGCATTGGAATGATTTCTTTCCTATGCTGATTTGCTCCATCTAGTGGCCATAATGTGGTAATTACATAATATCACATTTGATCCGAAAAGAGAATATATCATAACATTAATTTTTGCCCCCGTTCACACAGAAAGAATGTTCATGCTATTTCCCAGGGCGAATGGCTCGGCAAATTGTTTATAAATTATATCTCTACCTCTAAAATGTTGAACAAGGAATAGCAAATTCGCAAATCAGGAAAATATCAGCTGCAGAAAAACCAAAGAAAATACTGTGGACTAGTCCTTTGCATTTTAGGGCACAGCTTCCTTAAAACAGGGGTGGGCAAACTCCAGCCCCCCAGCTCTTATGGAACTATAAATCCCATTTAGCATTGCAAAAGTCTCACAGCCACGACTCCCAGAGACAGATGCATGATGGGATTTGCAGTTTCACCAAAGCTGGAGGGCTGGAGTTTGCCCACCCCTGACTTAAAGTGTAACTCCAGCATTTGTTTTTCTAGTTTTCATCAGGTCCCCTAATAGTGTCAGTCTTCACTTTCCCTATCCATACCCCAACCGAACGCGGGCAGTCATCTCCAGCACTGCGACACTTAGTCTTTCTGCCCATTTCCAGCTAGCCCAGCCTCTAGGGGGCGTGTCCTTACGCAGGCTGGGCTCACAGTCCTCAAGGACTGAGTAGTGCACAGTGTCATTAAGTCCCAATCAGTCCTGACAAAATTATCGCCGCCAGAAGAAGAAGTGGGGATTACATTAGGGGACCGGCAAGAAGAACTAAAGAAAGAAGGTGCGTATAGGGACTAAAATTGGGGGGCTACGTGGAGGTAGGGTGAAGGAACCAGGTGGCAAGGGAAATCCTGTAGTTCCACTTTAATGATTTTATAGTAAATCTGTCTCCGTAAATACAATTCTGCTCATTGTTTCCAGCCTTCCTTCTGCAGCAAAACAGATACAATTCCCGCTATCTTACCTCTTTTGTCCTCTCCTTCTTGGGAAACATTGGCGGCTCTGTCCGGGATCTCCACCCACCAGGTTTTGTACCTCAGCAACTGTTTGATAGCATCGTCTTCAAAGAGGTCGGCTCTGCAAGAAACGAACTTCCTTTCAACCGTGTACAGTCAGCAAAACGCTCAACAACAAAAAATAAATCAGTAGCAACCTTGAATGAACTCCGATGTAAAGGAGAAGCAGAGCGACGATTTATAAACAAACTAAAAGGAAAGTTTTTGTTTTCACTTGTTTATAGACGGACGTTTTCTGGCCAGTTAAGCTCCAGAGCCATTTTAGCTATAGGCCGATATTTCCGGGAATAACGGTTATTGTTATTAGGAATGCACCGATACCGAGTATTTGGGAGAGTGCTCCAGATACCTGTCGCGATACCAGAACTTCAGGTATCGGGAAGCCGGGCAGCGAGTCATTAAACGCCGCCCGGCTTCCTGATTGGCCAGGAAGCCGGCTCCCTCGTCACTCGGTGATGACACGGGCAGACTGACACAGTGTGAATGGAGCAGGATGGCATGTCTGCGGGCACAGCGGCACTATGACACAGGAAGGAGAACAACGCTGGCACTAGGTCAGGCCGCCCCCACCGCGCACCAACCTCAGGAGTCAGGTAGGCCTCGAAGGACGGCTGCTTGGGGGATTTGGCCGCCCCTCCGGCTCCGAGCCCCAGCATGTCCCGGCGCAGTACTCATCTCCCTGCCAGGCATTCCCTCTACAGCGGATACACCAGCCATCACTCAGTCACTTGGTTGCGAGGTAGCTGGCCAATCAGGAAGCCGGGCGGCAAGTCATTACCGCCCCCCCCCCACCCCCAAAAGCCATAAAGCCGGCTTCATGTTTCCTCATCACCTAGTGACGAGGGAGCATGGAGCCAGCCCCCCTTCCTGATTGGAGAGTATTCGGTATTGGCCAGTACTGAAAAAAACAAATATCGGTACTCAATACCGAAAAACCCGCATTAGTGCATCCCTAATTATTATGATACAGAAGTGACACATATTTCAATTAAATATGCTTCAAGTGCATTAAGGCAAACAATGTGCAAAGTCTTAGGAGTTCATTTTCTTTAGAAAGCAGCCACAGGCCGAGTAGAAAAGACTGTCCCCCGCCAGCATGCTGCAGACAAGGACCCTTGCTCCCTGTGTAGAAGCAGAGGTCTCTCTGCAGAGGGCCAACCAGGGACGTCGTGAGGCCGGGAATCACCCGGTCTCTAGACCGGGTGACACGACGCCGTGTCGTCATCGCATGTGCGCCTGATGTCACATCGCACATGCGCGGCCATCTGATTGACGCCTGCCAGCGGCCATCTTTGTGATGGACGCCGGCAGAGTGAGGAGGGGACATTTACCAGGTGGGATGAAGTATGCCGCTGAGTCCCCTCCTCTCTCCTGACACTGTCGGGCTCTCGATCCATGACCGAGTGCCTGACTTTTTAGAGGGGGTGACACCAAAATGACGGTCAGTCATTTTGTTGTCTCCATGACAACAATTTACACCGTGTGCCCGGTGTAAATTGTCAGCGCTAAATATATACTCTACATCAGTGTTCCCCAACCCCCGGTCCGGTACCGGTCCGCGGATCAAATGGTACCGGCCGCACAGTCTCAGTGCGGTCCGGTCATGCAATATATGGCAGTGCACGGTCCCGGTGTTCGAACACCGGGGCCCCGCACTGCCGACATGTTCACAGTGAGGGGGCGGGTCCTGTGACTCACCTCCCCTCCCGGCAGTGTCCATAGTAACAGGCGGCGGTTGGGGAGGTGAGTCACAGGAGACGTGTGTGTGTCACACGCCCCGCCCCCTGCAGTGAGTGCACACATCGACACATGGCTGCTGCTCCTGGAAGGGTGAGTCTGAGCGGGGGAAGGGGGGGTGTCTTACATCATGTCATTAGACGTGGATTATAATGGGGAATATTACACTGTAATGTTGCCTATTATAATCTATTTCTCTGATTAAATGATTACAGGTAGGCATGTGATCTATCAAAGTTTGAGACTACGTTAGAATGTGTGACCAGTGACGTGGTCACACATTTTAACGTAATCTCGCCCAGTTTTTCGGTGGTGGAATAGGTGAAGAATTCCAACGCTTTCATTTTTTGGTGTAACTGTATTTTATTTTGAAGGCATTTTTAAATACAATTAAATAAAAATTATTCAATCAAAACAATCTAAAATATAAACAATCAACGTCCCCCCCTCAGCGGGCCACGGTAAAATTATCAAGCGTTGATCGGTCCGCGGCGATAAAAAGGTTGGGGAGCACTGCTCTACATTATAGAGATTTTGCAGCACCGCTCGGATTTGCAATGGCTGTGCCAGTGGGACACAACTTGCCCAGGTATCTCCAAAAGCAGGCGAATCAGCTTGGGAGCAAAGACTAATTTTGGGTGGTGTGGTCCTTTAACCCTTTCGCTGCCAAGCCCTCCGGAACATTTTTCAAATCAGCTGGCCAAGCCATTTTTGAATTTTCTGCAATTTTTTCCTATTGGTTTGATTTTCAACTGCTGCGTTGCTA